TCAGCATCGCATCATCATCATCATCATCATCATCATCATCATCATCATCATCATCATCATCATCATCATCATCATCATCATCATCATCATCATTATTACCACCACCACCACCGCCACCACCACCACCACCATCATCATTTTAGCATTACCATCATCAGCGTCATCATCACCATCGTCAGCAGCATCAGCAGCATCAGTATTATCACCACCACCACCATCATCATCATCATCATCATCATCATCATCATCGTCATCATCGTCATCATCGTCATCATCATCAGAATGATCACCAGAATCATCATCACCATCATCATCATCATCAGTATCATCATCATTATCAGAATCATCATCAGAATCTGTATCATCATCAGCAGCAGCAGCATCATCAGCATCATCAGCATCATCATCATCCTCATCATCATCAGCATCAGCATCGTGATCATCACCATCATCATCACCAGCATCATCATCGTCAACAACAGCATCATCATCAACTTCACCATCGTCAACATCATCATCAACATCATCAGCATCATCATCATCCGCCTCCTCCTCCTCATGTTTCTCCTCCTCCTCCTTTTCCTTCTCCTCCTCCTCCGTCTCGTCCTCCTCTTCCTCTCTCATAATTCGACTTAAAAAATTGGTAGTATTATTAGCATTAATCCGCCGATCCGGCGTGTGAGTTTCTGAGAGCGTGGGCTTGAGCTCGCTCAAGCTTCGCTCTGTCGGGGGGGGGGGAGCTGACGCCATGGCTGACGCCATTCAGGCCCGGGAAGGGGGAGGGGGGCGGGGAGCTCGCGCAAGCTTCGCTCTGTCGGGGGGGGGGGGCTGACGCCATAGCTGACGCCAATAGCTGACGCCATTCAGGCCCAGGAGGAAGGGGGAGGGACGCCATGGCTGACGCCATTCAGGCCCGGGAGGAGGGAGTCGGTGAGGGGGGAGGGCTGACGCCATGGCTGACGCCATTCAGGCCCGGGAGGAGGGAGGGGGGCGGGAGGTCTAGGAGGAGGGAATTGGGGGGGGGGTCTGACGCCATGGCTGACGCCATTCAGGCCCGGGAGGGGGGAGGGGGGGCGAGCTCGCGCAAGCTTCGCTCTGTCGGGGGGGAGGGAGGGCTTACGCCATGGCTGACGCCATTCAGGCCCGGGAGGGAGAAAGGGGAGGGGCATGGCGTACGCCATTCAGGCCCGGGAGTGGGGAGGGGGGGGGGGCTGACGCCATGGCTGACGCCGTTCAGGCCCAGGAGAGAGTCGGGGGAGGGTGGGGGCTGACGCCATGGCTGACGCCATTCAGACCCGGGAGAGGGGAGGGGAAGGGGGAGGGGGAGGGGGAAAGGCCGAGGGGAGTCGCGACCCCTTCCCCAGGAGGGATAGTTATTCGTCGCAGGTCCGTTTTCTGCCGGCCCTGGGGCCAAGCGGCCCACGAAGGCTGGAACCAAGGAGGAACAAAACAACGGAGACTTACAGGCCGACTAACATCGACAAAAAACCTGCGAAACACCGACATCCTCTGGGGGCCGCTGAGCTCCCGCGGGATCGACGAGCCGACGAATCGACATCCTCTGAAGATCCCTGATGCAACCCCCCGAAGGTCGAGAGCCGACGAAAATCTACACGGAAAACCTGCAAGAAATCATTCATCTAAAAAATCCGTCGATCCGGCGTGTGAGTTTCTGAGACCATCAGATATAGCCTGAGCCTCAGTTCCTCAACTTCAGCTCTGCTGGGGTGTGGATGCCGAAGTGGCTCTGGCGGGGTAAGGGATGGGGGCGGGAGAGCTTTCCATTCCATTCCTTCGGCGGAATACAAGCTCCAGCTCACTCCGGGACGGTCCCCTCGCCTAGGAGGGCCCCAACACGGGCCAGTACGAAACCATGAAGCCGCCCTGACGGTCCAAGAGGGCCCTGAGTCGCCGAAAAAATCGCTACAAGACGCCCAAGCTGTCCCCCAAACAGCTCCAGAAGCCTACAAGACGCCCCAAGAAGACCTGAAGAGGCCTTCCAAGAGGACCCAAAGAGACGTCCCCAGAGAGCCCCAAGACGGCCCAAGAGGGCTTCAAGACGGCCCAAGAAGGGCCCAAGACGGCCCAAGAAGCCCCAAGGAGGCCCCCAAAAGGCCCCCAAGAGATTCAAAAACTTCCTCCAGCGCGCCCCCAAGAAGCCTCCAGGATGCCTCCAAAAAGCCCCCCGAAAGCCCAGGAGCGCCCCCCAGAGGTGTTAGACATCAGCTACGACAACATCCCATGAGTTTGGCTGTTCACGCGAGATCGTCACTTTCGAATATCCGAAGGTTGCCCAAGCAAGTTCAACATCTCTATCTTATGAGGATGTCTCGAGCGGCGCTCTACTTTCAAACAAAGAAGGTCACCCGTTGCAAGAATCGGTAGCACACGGATCGGCGGCACTGGCCGGAGGCAACTACAATATCACTCGCATTAGTAGTAGTAGTAGTAGTAGTAGTAGTAGTAGTAGTAGTAGTAGTAGTAGTAGTAGTAGTAGTAG